TAAATTATATCAAACATTTAAAGCAGAAGAAAGAAGGAACACTTCTCCCCTCATTTTAGGAAATCAACATTGTGCTAATACTAAAACTGGATAAAGATAATAGAAGAAAAAAGTATGAACATAGATAAAAATTCCTACATTCCTTTTTGGATTCATTGATTTTATAATAAATCAAGAAAAGGCTGTCCCAGAGATAGGCATCACCTTTGGTCTTGGTAAGCTCTAAGACAGGACACTTGTGTTTACTTTGCCCTGTTGTTGTGAGGACTGGAGCTAATAGTACCTCTCCAGCTAGTGGTACTCATAGCAGTGACAGCATAATCATTCTTATTGGGGCCTTGAGAAGGCACAAGTTGGCCATAGTGTCCCAAACCATGGGTGCATGGTCAATTAGAAGGTGTAGTGGATTTTTTTTATTTAAAGAGAGTATGAACTTGTTATGGAGGAAATAGATATCACAGTATTTAAGGGCACTATCTCTGGAGCCAGAGAGTCTGGGTCCAAGTTATGGTTAGATACTTGCTGTCTGTGCAACTTCAGGTAACTCACTTAATCTCTTTGTACCTTAGTTTTCTCATCTGCAGAATGGAGGTAAAAACACCACCAGCTTGACAAGAATGCTCTAAGGACTGAAGAAGTAAAACATGTTATAAGGACTGAGTAGTATATGTTTTAAGTAGTCAGCAAATGTTAGTTGGTACTGTTATGAGGGATAGAATTAAAAAATCATATTTATTTAAAGGATAAAGCAAGAAACCTTGGGTTTTTGTGTTTGGTGGTCAGCCTTTGGCTGTTTTTATAATCAGCTGGGGTTTCACATTCATCTTATGTGGCAAAGGTACTTTTGGAGTACAAAACAGTCAGAGAGCCTATTGTTAACCTAGTCACAGAACATATTGTAACCTAAAATTTAGTCTCTGTGGTACTTTACTCAGTTTTCTCACTCTTTTGGGAAAAATAGCTATTGGTAGCTTGGTCTCCTGCCTGAGTAGCCACCTGTCCCAGTTTACTCCTTTTAGTGATCAAAGTCTTCTCTGTGCTTTCCCCCTAGATGGCCTTTTATCTCTGGGTATTGTAAGAAACAAGATCTTTTTTTAAAAATAAAAAATATGAACAAAACAGTGTCTCCATCTTAAACTCTTGTTCACCCTGGGCTGCCTCCCACCTTATGCCAGAGTTACAAAAAACGTCTGTTCAACTTAGAATCCAGAAACACAGCTGACCACCCAAGATAATTTATCAACAGCCAAGGACTTTCGGTCCCCATACACCCACCTCTTCCCTCCCTTAGCAACCCTGCCCAGCAATTCTTCAGGCCTTCCCTTGTAGCTGCTTAAACTAGCTACTGGGGACAAATTGTGAACCTTCAAACCAGCCAATGGGGAGAAGGTCAGCTTCTCACAGGAAATAAAAGAAGCCTGCTACTATGCCTCTGTATGCTTGCTACCTCAGGCTAAAGTGTGCTTGTGCCCTTCTGCAGAAGTAAAACAATCTTGTCCGGATGAAATTTCTTGGTGTCTTAGTGCTTTATTACTTGCACCAAGAAACTGAATCTGCAGGTGTATTCCCAAAAATATCATCCATTTTCTCTGGAAAATCCTCCTCTAGATCTATAGCTATAATTGGGGTCAAGGAGAGCACTAGTCAGAGCTTCTTTACTTCTGTTCTGACATGCTAATTCAAATGTCAACAACCATGAATTTTTAATTGTTCCACAGTGTCTTACTCCCTTACTAGGAAGAGATTTACTATCAAAATTAGGGACAATTCTCCAATTCTGGCAAAGGCCAAAGCAGATTTTACCTGTTGGGACTATGCCAAGCCATGCTTCTTAGACATCCCCGAGGTTATAATAAAGACTTGTACTACTCTCTCTCTCTCTGTTTTTTTTGGTACCAGGGATCGAACTCGGGACCTTGCACTTGTGAGGCAGGTGCTGGAACCACTGAGCTGAATCCCCAGCCCCAAAAAGTGTACTACTCTTAATCTTGCCTCTTTGATGCCTCCCAGACCTATGCAAGCAGCCAGAATATCAGTGACCTGCTAATCCAAGACCTTGAGAAGGTGTGGCTCAATGGTGGAAGTAGCTTTGTCTAAGAAGGATGTTGAAAGGCAGGTTATGTGGTTGTCAGTTCATGATAGGTCATTGAAACTAAACTCCTTTCTCTAGGGACTTCTGCTTAAAAAGCAGGGCTTTTTTAAAAAAAGTAAGGGCTCATAGCCCTTACTTAGGTGCTGATTTTAGGAAAAGGCAAAAAGCCAAATAGCGCTATGGATTCCAAATATACCTTTCTGGTGCTACATACTCATGCAGCAGTCTGGAAAGAAAGGAGCGTTCTAACTAATAAGAATTCTACAACTCCTAGAGATAGTCTATCTTCTCATGCAGGTTGCTGTCATTCACTGCAAGAGCCCCAAAGGGACATATATAAAGCATCCTTGGGAAATCAAAATGTTGGTAGAGAGGCAAAAAGGGCAACCTTACAGCTGCTCAAGATCTAGCCTTATTCCCTGTGCCTGAGGAACTATTAAACTGGTTCTTCCTCAAGGGACACCATGAGAAACTATACAAATCCTACATGGGAAATGGTTATTAGAAAAAGCTATTTCCGAGAAGAATAAAAAAAAAAAAAGAAGGAAAAAGCTATTCCTGAGAACCTTTGGGAGACCTGAGGCTCCTCTTCAGAAAGCAAGACTCCAGTATTGTTCCAGGTACACATAAGTAGAATCACTAATGACCCAATTTACCACAGCTTAAATGGGCATCTGTATTGAGGTACTTGTTTTTAATTAGATCCGTAATGTGGGTAATCTTTTTTTTTTTTTTTTTGGTACCGGGGATCGAACTTGGGCCCTTGCACTTGCAAGGCAGGTGGCGAAACCACTGAGCTAAATCCCCAGCCCAATGTGGGTAATCTTGCTAAGGCACATCTCTCAGGCACTTGGTAATTTATCTAAGACCCCTTTTTGCCATACTTTCTCCTCCACAGGAAGCACGGAAGTCAGACCTTCTTCTCTTCACATTTGGGCTCTACATCCCCAACCTAATATTAAAGTTACTTTTTTTTCCCATCAAACATCTCAATATTCACAAACTCTTTCTTTTCTCATTGTCTTCTGATAGGTTTTTTTCTTCAACTCAGCCAGTGAGCCACAGCACCCAAAGGTAGTTGGAGAGCACATAATCCCCAGTAAGGAAGGCCTACAGCCCCTTCCAGCAGTCAGAAGCAAAATGAAGACAGAAACCTCTACTCCCTCAGCACCCCTTAAAGAATTATGGGGATATGTGTCTCTCAGGTGGAAATGAGTCAAGAGATTAGGGCATGGCAGACTTGTTGCAGTTGAGTGGGCCAGTCACAGTCCAGGTGCTTGTGTAATGAGGAAAGAATTACCAAGCATACACTTTGTAGTGTGTGTAAGTAGCTATGTTTATTGAAGATCACAGAACAGTAGCAGCAGGAATGGGGAAAGGGAAAAGCAGGGAAGAGGGCTGGATAGCATAGGCTTCCAGTATTTAAAGGGTCAGACACAGTGATCTGCCGCCTCTGGCATGATGACCTCCTAGGCTTTTGTTATTTTACTTTGTACCTCTTTTGGGACAATGGAAGCATGGATAATCATTAGGATGGGGTGATGTTTACCATTGAATGGAGGGAAAGGAGTGACTCACTCAGCTCCTTTGTTTCTAACTGTACTAGACTGGCTGGGAAAGTAGGTGTAACCTATTAATTACAAAATCCCAGGACACATGCACAGAACAGTTCCCAAAGCCCTGAGCATGGACTTCTCATGAGAACTTGAGCAGGTTTCTGATCGGACAGCCAAGACCTGACATCAGCCTCAGAAGTGGGAGATATAAAAAAGGATAGTTGCCATTGAACTCTTGCTACTGTGTTCTTTCACAGTGGTCCACCCTTACCCTGTAGAGTGTATTTCTTTTCCCATTTTCACTTGTTCCAAGCTCGCTCTGCAGAGCTTGTTTCTTTTCCTACCTTTAATAAATGTAAAACTTTGCTATTACTTGTTCTTATCTTGACCAATTTCTTATTCAAGACAGAAAGCCCAGTAACAACATTTGATCTCACAAAGCACAAATTATATATAATCAATATCACCCTTGAATTGATTATTAGGCACAGCACATGTAATTTTGTTTTAGAATTCTGCACACTAGTTTATTTTAAAGGGTTTTTATTTTGAAAATTTCTATCACACAGAGAAATAAACTGTGTGTGAAAAAAATCCCTCTGAAATCTTCACACAACTTCAGCTATCATCAGTGTTTGCCATATTTGGTTCCTCTGTTCACCAGCCTGCCCATCTTTTGTTTTGTGAAATAATTGAATGCAAATTATAGACATCACATTATACCCTAAATATTTAAATGTACATTTACAGAGTGAAGGTGAACAGCATGTCATTATCACATCTAATGAAGTTAACAATCACTTATTGATGTCAATTAATACCAAACTTCCTTTCATAGTCCAAAGAGTCTTTTTACATTTGATTTGTTGGCATGAAGATTCCAAGAAGGCCCATACTATTCTCATTAATTCTTATGTTTAACAATTATTGAGAAGCTCTAAGCCAAATTAGAGGAAGAAAGAAAAGATGATTATAATTCCAACTAATCATAATGGCTTAATGGAGGTAATGTTTTGAAATTATTAGTGGTTTTTTCTATTCATTTCCTTCCTTTCTTGACTTTTGTTCTAGGCAGCTTGAGACATCCATCATCCTGGAGACAGACCAGGATTTGTAACAGAAGGACTGTCAAAAAGCAAGAACAAGGTAATATTTCTCTTTTGGTATGTAAAATGGAATTATCCAGAAAGAAAAAACTAGGAATGTCTTCAAAGATTTCTAAATGTCTTTAATATTCCCCTTTAGCAGACAATGACAATGAAGCCTGATTGGACCAGTATTCTGTATCCTCCTGCCATGTGGAGAAAGCACCCTGGTCCTCTATTAAGGCATTCCTAAGAAATAGGGTGAAAGATGGAGGGTATGATGACCTTTGGGGCCTATGAGATAGGGAGGTGTGGGGAGAAGGTGAGAAACAGGGAGGGAAAGAGGGACAGAGAGAGAAGGGAGAGAATCAGTGTAGATTATGTATTCCCCCAGCTTTGGTCCAACAATTAGAGAGGCACCGTGGTGTAGAGGGGACACTTGTCCTTCTTCCCACTTCAGACCCTGTTAAAGGGACAGTCATCCCACCCTGGGCTGTGACCATATCCAGATGGCAGTGTGGTGTGGCCAGGCAAAGGAAGCCTCAAGGTTTAGCCTTCTTGAGCCATCCGTATCTCCAGAGAGGCACAGATAAGCCAGAATACAGTGGGAGATTGCCAGGGACAAAGATAGCCATGACTGAAAGGCTTCTAAAATATTCTAACTTGTAAATATGTGACAAAAACTTAGGCTGATTAATTATCCACCGAAATCTACAGTAAAGAAACTATCCCATGTTTTCTTCTTTAAAATTGTAAACACTGGCAAAATACAGAAAACCATGAGTTAGTGGGAGAAAAGTTATAGACAAAACCAAGGAGCCATGTGTGCTTGGTCAGTCTGAATTGGCTTTTCTTTTTTGCAGTACTGGGGATTGAACTCAGAGACACTTACCACCGAGCTATGTCCCCAGCCCTTTTTATTTTTTATTTTGACACAGTATCTCACTAAGTGGCTGAGTTGCTCAGACTGGGCTCGAACTTGTGATCTTTCTGCCTCAGCCCCCTAGAGTGTTGGGATTACATGGTGCATGTCTGGCCTAGTGAACTTTGGTAGAAGTTGAACGCTGCCACACTGGTTTCCACCATCTCTCGTCAACCCTGGTGGAGCCAGGAATCACAGTTAGCAGGAGGGTGAGGAGATGTGGACATATCAAGCAGAAGAGGAGGGAGTGACCAGGGCTCCACCTGCTCTCCAGGAAAGAAAGCTTCTTGCTTTCAGCAGGCTCCTATGGATGGGGCATGATGGCCAGGCTCTCATCATCCCATGGGACTTCTAGTGACTAAACTGGGATTATATTTGTGGCTTACAAAGAGTATAGGACATTTTTCTCTTAAATCACGTAAGTGTGAGCTCATGAGGGCTGTCACAGTTTTCATCTAGAGATACTGGAGGATTTTTTTCCCACTGAATATATTTTAAAGGCACACCTCCTGTGAGTGCAATTTGTTCACAATACCAGTTATACCATAGGACAGTTCTTATGTAATAATATTGGCTGAAAAAGCAATACTTAGATGACTTATCTAATAAGACACAGCTATGTGAAAAGATGGGAAGACAAGGAGGTGAAGGTGGAGTGAGGGAGGGGAGAGAAAGAGAGATTAGGCCTGAGACAGAAGGCCTAAAGACAGCATTGTCTTCCAGCCCCTCAGCCATCCCTCATTTGCACCTACTGTGTGGTCTGGTGGCTTCCTTCTCAGTACAGTAACAATTTTGCAGGAGTATTAGTTTATATGTCTCTGATTGAAAGTAAACTGCTAGAGGAAAAGAACAGTGTCTTTATTTAGCCTTCTCTCTAGGGCCCAGAACAGAGAATAAATTTAGTTAAACATAAAAGGAGACACTATTGAAGCAAACAGGGAATGCAGGAAACAGGTCAAATGCTTTGCCTGAATCCCCTGAACTGTTGCCCTCTCTCTCCCTTCTCTTTACTCCTTGAACATTTTCCTTGCCTTTCAAAATGCCCCCAGCCTCGCATTAGTTAGCGGTGTGCTCATATTAATCATCAGTATATGATTTGAGGATTGGGTCCATGTAACAGTGATAATTATAGCTATAATTATCTGGTACTTTCTATATGCCAGGCAGGACTGCATATTAGTCTATACCTATCTTTTTACAAGACAGATTCTGATCCTGTAGGCTGGGCTGGACCTAAGTTGCTGCATTCCTAAAAGATTGATGCCAATGCTGCTGGTCCCAGGACACACTGGGAATAGCAAAATGCAAAGGACTTTAACTCATTTAATTCTTAAACCAATCCAGCGAAGCACTCATCGAGTTTTGCAATAAGATCCTCTGAGGGTCAGAGCAGGTAAGTGAGGGTCACACATGTATTCATGACACTGGGTTCAGACTTAGTGCTGTCTAACTTAAAAGTATGAGACCTTTCCAAAGTGCTATAACTTGTCAAGAGGTTTCTTTTAGGAGCTTATCAAGGTTGGACCCTGGGAAGACAAGAGAGAGAAAACTGTGTTTCTGAAGGTAAGCTATGGTGCTGGAGGAAGGCAAGAGTCTGCCAGGAGTTGCTGTACGCTTGAGAGAGGATCTGTTTCTGGAGTGCCCTGGCTTGCTCCTGGCCTGTGCCAGCCCCACGCCTGTGAGGGAAGGGCTCTGCTCCAGACCTCTGTTGCGCTCTGCTTGGTGGGCTAGCTCCCAAATGGAAGCATTGGCCTTCATGGGAAAAGCCTGTTTTCAGGAGAAGTGAACACAGTAATTCACACCTGAAATCCCTCCAGGCTCATTGGCTCATCTCAACAAACTGGGTGTGAGGCAGGAGGGGCTGCCTCCCTTGTACCAATGGGAAAACAGGTTCAGACTGGCTCTGTAACCTGGTCTTCTGATTCTTGCAAATCCTGTGTGACACTATACTCAGTTCTTTGGGGTTCATGAAAGGAGAGTCTGGGAAGAACTAAATATGCTCCTCTTTGATGAAGGGAACTGTCCCTGGGTTCAAATCCCACCACTTCTGCTCACTAAGCTGTGAGCAGGTCCCTGGGTTTGGTAGAGTATCTATGCAGTGAGTGTAATCGTGTGTATGCCTATTTACATAGATAGTGGATCCTTATTCCTCTCGGATTCCCTACTTGTGAATATTCCAGCTCACTAAAACTTATTTGTAATCCCCCATTCAGTATTCATGTTTTGTTTCTTATTTGGTGGTACTGGGGTTCAAACCCAGGGCCTCACACATGCTAGGCAAGTGCTCTGCCATCAAGCCACGCCCCTAGTCTTCACAGTGTTTTTGCAGTCCTTTGTGACCCTGTACTGAGTAGTGAAAATTATAAGTCATCTGACGCACACATTCCTAGCTCAAGGTGATTTAACCGTGGCGGCTCCTTTGGGAATTGTCCTTGGCAATGACACTTTCACTTCCCCTCCCCAGTCTTTTTTGAAGGATTACACCTTCTGCCAGCATTCTCAATTCTAAATGGTTGAGATGTTCACTGCTAATTGATTTTTTTTTTTTAGATTTACAAAACCCAGAACATCTGGTGCCCTTTGTAACACCCCTCCTTAGTCCTTAGTTCTGTGCACCAACTAAAAGGAAGGATGTAAATTGCTGGGCAGTTTAAGTTGCAGTAAAGTGATATGTTCATTTTAAGAAAATATAAGAATTAGCCGCAGGAGGTCATGGTTTATTGTGATTTTTCGGTCAGAGGGAAAAACAGGAGGCAGCCTGGAAGATGGAGGCCCTAGACAGTATATATGGCTTCTGCTCTTCTCTTCCTTCCCCTCCCTGTAACAGCCTTCGGCATCCAGAAGCCCCTTAGATGGAGCTCCGAGGATGACAGTCCCTCATGTTCTTCAGGGGCAGCCCTTGAATTAATTGGATTCCTTCCTACCAACTTCGAGCTCTGAATATTGGCCTTTGAGTGGCGGGCAGTTGGTCTGCATCTCGTAATAGTGACGCCTTGTTTTATTCCAGTTCTTGCACAGGAAACAAGTGCCCTTTGCACAGCCCACACTTTTGTACTTTTCTTTGGTGATTTCGCTGTTTAAAAGTGCCAAAGTGCTGTGTAGTGTGTCATGTGCAAGAAGGCTACAAAGTGCCTTTTGGAAAAAGCCCCATGTGCCAGCTTTGTTCAGGCATGAATTACAGGGCTGGCAGATGTGAGTCCAAAGCTAGCGAGTTAACATTTAAGGTTATATATAATCTTTAAACAGAAACACATAACGCAAGGTTACATATTGGTCAACTGATGACAGCGCTGTGACCAGAGGCTGGCAGGAATCTAACCCTGTATGTCCCTGGACAACAGTGCAGGGTTCACAAAGTCAGTGTTCATGGTGGCCTTAGAGAACATAACCACTACAGATAAAATCCAACAGTGTGTATGTCAGGGACATAGTGACCATCATTTCTTTTCTCCTATAGTTCCGCTCATTGAGGCTTAGCTTGTGGAAAAGTAATGTCTGTTTTAAGGGCTCCGCTGGTGAGCCCTAGAGACTGTGGCCAGGGTCAGAGGCAGGGGGTTGGAAAGCAGGCATACAGCAGACTGCCTGAGCATAGACCTTTCCAAGGAGACCTTGAACAATTGACTTCAGCCCTCTTTTCCATATCTTCAAAGGAGCACCTGTATTGTGTCTATAAAAGGTGATGATATGGTGAGAATTAGATACGTTCATTTTTATCAGGTTGTCTTAGTTACTTCCTGTCACCGGAACATAATCCCCTGCACCCACAACTTAAAGGAGGAGAAGTTTATTTTGGCTCACAGTTTCAGTCCATGGTTTGCTGGCTCCAAGGCAGAAACAGGATGGCAGAGGAAAAGGTGCCCAATTCATGACAGCCAGGAAGGAGAGAGAAAGAGAGAGAGGGACAGAGGAGAGAGAGAGAGAGAGAGAGAGAGAGAGAGAGAGAGAGAGAGAGAGGACACAGGTGGGCACAAGAACACTATG